AGCCTGCCGCGCCGCACGCGCGCTCTCTCGGCTACAGCGTGAACGCGGGGGGAACCGGTTGCCTAGGAAACCCTCCAGTCCTGGTAATTATGGCTGTAACGGACTGCACACCCCACCTATAACCGAAATGAATAATAATGCTCACCAGTGACTGGCAGGACTCCGCCGCCCTGCTCGCCACTGCCCCCTACCGGCGCGCTCGGCGAGTGACAGGCGAGCTGGGGCCTCCCCGAGAGAAACCCGCAGAGCAGCACCCCCACCCTCACCCCCACCCCCACCACGCCCCCCTCCGCCCCGGCTTCCTCCTCCAGGTCCTGAGTACCGTTCACGCAAATTGCTGCCCGATCAATAGAGCAAAAATGAAAAGTGCTCCCTGCCCGCTAGACGGTGGGGGTGGAGCCACCTAATGGCCGCCGGTCATCTCAATTAAAAGCCATTTCATCTTGTGACATGAGCGGGTCCAAACAAGGCACTTAGGACGGTGGGCAGAGGCTGAGCGGGCGTGGGTGACGGCCCCCCCCACCCCCGTGCGAGCCCCCACGACCCCACCGGCAGGGCTGGCTCCCGAGCTCAACAGCTACAAACAACACCCGATCCGGGGGGTTCTGATCAATTAAACGGCGTGATTAGCGGACGTTCCATTTGTCTTGGGCCGGGTCGTCCGGCCGCGGCACGCAGTTGAAGTTCCGCCCCTGGAAGACGAGTTTGTGCAGAAATGAGAACATGGCGTGGTTTCCTGGGTTGGATTTAAAAGGCACAGCGGGAGTTGGCAAAATGCACGTATCACGGGGTTAATGTGGGTGGAAAGCAGCGATTTGTAACACAAAAAGATCGCATCCGAGGACACGCAGCCGGCTCTCCGGCCCTGCGCCCGCCCGGCTGCCATGAACAGCAGGGACAGCGGCCTTCGCCACCAGCAGGGCAGGCCCGTTGCCCGTGCCCGCGCCGGGCTGAGCTGCGTGGGCAGGGCGTCCACCCGGCTGACGGAGGCAGGATGGGTGTTTCCCGGAAGGAGTCTGGCCCCAGACACTCAGGCCCCACAACATCCAGGTTCTGTCCAGTCCAGGCATTTTATTTTTATTTCTATTTTTTAAATATATTGTTATTGATCTCAGAGAGGAAGGGAGAGGGAGAGAGAGAAAGAAACATCAATGATGAGAGAGAACATGGACCGGCTGCCTCCTGCACACCCCACACTGGGGATGGAGCCCGCATCCCGGGCATGTGCCCTGACCGGGAATCCAACCGTGACCTCCTGGTTCATAGGTTGACACTGAACCCCTGAGCCCCACCGGTCGGCTGTCTGGGCATTTTGAACTTGCCGTTCAGGGGCTCAGAAGAAAAAGGAAATACCCCGAGCGTGGCTGAAGCTGTAGACTGGGATCCCCGAGACGGAGGGTGTGAGGAGCAGACGGGGCACCAGCACCCCTGGGTTAGGCGTGTCCCGGGAGTCAACCGAGAGGTTCAGCCCTAAAAGCTCGGGCACCAGGGCCCAGCCTTGGGCTCCATGAAGACCACGGAACGAGGCAGGACCATGAGGACGGTGCCAGGAGAAAGGACGGGCACAGCACTTCCCACGGTCGGGAACACGGCGGGAAACGTGCTTCTACCTGCGGGGGGGCCAAGGGGCGGGTGGAGGCCCCGGGCTGGGTAAGTTCAGGCCAGGCCCAGCTGGGGGCGGACATGAGACACGGCCGCCGGCCTGCACACACGTGGGCCTGTCAGGCCACGGGCTCCAGGACTGGCCTCCGCCCTGAGCCGCGGGAGGCTGCGCAGAATGAGACGCGAGCGTTTTCAGAGGCGAACACTCGGCAGGACGGACACCCCTGGTCAAAGGGCGCGGTGAGAGGGTCCTGCAACCCCGGCCTCCCCTGACACAGCCTGTGAACCTCAGCACGAGAAGGAGCCCAGTGCGGGGAGACCGGCGACAGCGGAACAGCCCTCCAGGCGGACCCCGGGGCGTGACGGGGAGAGGCACTCGCTCTGGGACAGTCTCCCCACAACGCACACCCAGGCGAGCCGTCAGGACGCAGCAGTGGGCAAACCCAAGTGAGAGACAGTCTCTGAAACCCCTCGGGGCCACGGGAACGAGGACCTGAGAAAGGGCCCCAGGGTGGGACAGAGACGTGGACGGAGATGGGAGTGGGTGGCAGGGAGGGGGCTTCTCTCATCATCTTTTCACGGAGCTGTGACTCCTAGAACCACAGTCTCCCCCAAATAAACCATGAAAACAAAACCAAGGTGTGGAGCAAACCCAAATGACAAGTGAATCACCATCGCCCCGGCCGGTGAGCTCAGTGGTTAGTGTCAGCATTCGGACCAAGGGGTGGTGGGCTCGGTTCCTGGTCGGGGCACCTGCGGGAGGCAGCCAATCGATGTCTCTCTCACATCGATGTTTCTCTCTCTACTCCCCCCCCCCCCTTTCTTTCCCTTCTACTCTAGAAATCAACAGAAAAATATCCTCGGGTGAAGATTTAAAAAAAATTTTTTTTAAACAAAAAAACAAATGACTCACAATCACAGGAAGGGCCGGGAAAGAAAGAACGAACCTAAGTCGCATGGAAAAGGCTCTCCCGTGGCCCCGTCCAGTGTAGTGTTGTTAATGAATGGATTTCTGCCCCGGCCGGTTTGGCCCAGTGGGTAGAGCATCAGCCTGTGGACTGAAGGGTCCTGGGTGATTCCAGTCCAGGGCACAGGCCCAGGTTGCAGGTTCGGTCCCCAGTGTGTGCAGGAGGCAGCCGATCCATGATTCTCTCTCATCATTGATGTTTCTCTCTCTATCCCTCTCTCGTCCTCTCTGAAATCAATGACAAATTTTTAAAAAATAAAGTAAAATAAGAAGTGGATTTCTGCTGGGCAGAGAGGGGCACCACGCACCCGCACTTGTGTGTGCACTACAGTTTAGAAGTGAGTGAGTTCGCTGCAGGGTGCCTCAAAAGCGCAGCCGCACTCAATGGCAGACAAAAATGAGGAACCGTCCAAAGATGCCCAGAACTCAGTAAAAGCATCAGGGTCGAGGGAGACAGGGAAACGGTGGCGCTGTGGGGCCTGGTGGAGACCCTGGCGGGGACAGGAGCAGGACCGCACACGCAGGGGCCTGGCCCGGCCGGAGCAGGGAAGGCCGCAGTGAGGCGGTGGGCGAGCCGCGGAGCAGACGGCAGCGCAGTGAGCAGCAGGCACAGGGGACCCGGCCGGGGGAAGGGCCTGGGAATGTAGGAGGCACTGGGGAGGAGGCAGGTGTGGGGGTGGCACTGATTTTGCAGCTTTTCTCGGGTCTAAAGCTGGCTGGGTGCACAGGCCGCGGGTCGGCTGCTGTCGCGGTGGCTGAGAGCCCGGAGGGGCCCTTCGCGCACTGTGACTCGGTGAGAGCGCTGCCCGGCCCGGCCTGCTCCCTGCCGTCCCGCTGGGAGGGACCCCATCTACTGCGAGAAGTGACAGAGGCGAGGCCAGGAGGCTGGAGACGAGGCTGGACACGGAGGCTAGTTCACGGCCCCGCTGACACCCATGGGGGCGCACGCAGCCCCCACAGGCCGCCCAGGCGCACGGCCCACCCAGCCGCCCGGCCCACAGCAGCTGCCAGAGCTCCTCCAGGCACCTCCGAGGGCACCGCTGTCCTCTGGTTTGGTTTCGGGTTTTGTGGGGGATGGGCTGAGCGAAAACAGTTTTTCACTAAAACTGTAGGCAAAGTCGCTCAGGATTTAGTAAAGAACACAGCCCCTGTGCTACCCCTCAGCGTGTGGGACTCAGCTCACCCCCCGTTAAAGCGCATCTTCATCAACTCTTAGTGCTGCTGCTCCAGTTACAAACACTCCTCTTTTCTAGGACATAACTTCACTTTGTTTAAGCAAGAATTCATTAAAGGAGCTATAAATAGCCTTCAGACACAGCCGTGAATAGGGGCCGGGCATTGATGGCTTGTTTTAGGAGCGCAGGATGCTTTTAAAAGCCACATGTTGGCATCAAGCTGAGGATTTACACGTGCGACACAATTTTCTATTAGAATACATTTCTGCATTTTAAGTTTTGCTAAAAGTAAATATGACATTTCGATTCATCCTTAGAGGATGAAGGGTTGGGAAGACCAGGACATAAAATTTCTTATTTTAAAATCTTTTTGATCATGAAGACATGCTCTTTCTCCCCCAAATACAGCGCCGTTACACTGCACACGCGGAGGCGGCCCGGGCCGCGAGGGCGAGGGCGGCTGGCGGTGCTCGCAGCGCGTGCATGAATCAGCCATCTCCACACGCGGCTCTGAGGCATAAAGTCCACAGCATTTTCGAGACCAAGTTTCATAAAATTTTTACTTAAAAAAAAAAAAAGTTTTACAAAATCCCATTCTTCCGACCAAGAAACCTGCCCACAGGCCACGGGAGCTTCTGCCGAGGTTAAAGGGCACCTCGCTGCAGAACCCACCAGAAGGTTTCTTACAGGGCCTTTCAAAGGCTGAAGCAGGAACAGAACTGCCGGGTCTGAATCTTACGTTTCTGCTACACGGTCCATGCGGTGTGCTCATCACAGCGGGCACGGAACTGCCTGCGTTTAGTTCCAAACACCAACACGCCCAGGAACAACCTCTCTGAGAAGCGATCCGAGAGCCGCGGCATCCGAGGCAGCAGCGGTGTCGCCGGTGCCGGAGGACGACGAGCAAGCGGCCTGGGAATCCTGGGCTCACTCGGATCCTCACCTCCACCGACGAACAGGAGAACCTGCTTCCAGATGAACTCAGGACACCGCCTTCCACTCTCCGAGGAGCCTCAGCGGTACGAACTCTAGACGATGCAGCACGAGGTTGCAGGGCGCAAGCGCCCACTGCCTGGCAGCCTAGGTCCTCTGCTGCAGCCTAGGTCCTCTGCTGCAGCCTAGGTCCTCTGCTGCAGCCTAGATCCTCTGCTGCAGCCTAGATCCTCTGCTGCAGCCTAGGTCCTCTGCTGCAGCCTAGGTCCTCTGCTGCAGCCTAGGTCCTCTGCTGCAGCCTAGGTCCTCTGCTGCAGCCTAGATCCTCTGCTGCAGCCTAGATCCTCTGCTGCAGCCTAGATCCTCTGCTGCAGCCTAGGTCCTCTGCTGCAGCCTAGGTCCTCTGCTGCAGCCTAGATCCTCTGCTGCAGCCTGGCGGCTTTGAACTTGGACACCCGCTTGGTGACCTCCGACCCTTCTGACGGGACTTCTCTCCGCTCAGGGATCGTGGGCAGCACAGGGTGGACTGTGGCCGGGTGCAGGGCGAGGCAGGGCGACAATTCTTTCTCTATTACAGTTCCAGAAAAAGCCTACAAGACAAACGCCAGAGTGTGGTAATAAAACGCAAGAAAGCTGCCACACAATCCTTTATCCTGTATTAGTCAATGACACAGTTCTTTTCATTAAAAGTAAATTCACAAGATTTCTGGATTAAAAAAAACATCAAAATACAAATTGCTCAGAGAAATCAAATGCCATTACAACATCTTAATCACACCACCAAGTGGAAGTGCACTCTGACAGCTCACAGTGCGCGGGGCCGGCCCACAGGCCCTCCGTCTCGCAGGAGCGATGGCTCGACGTGGCGTCCGCTCGTGCACTGACGGGTATCGCACTGTGTCTCGCCTCAACTTTATGTACGAGTGGGACCTGAAAGTAGCCCGCTGCCCGGCCAGCCTGGCTCCGAGGTTGAGCATCGACCTAAGAACCAGGGGGTCTCTCATCACTGACGTCTCTCTCCCTCTCCCTTCCTCTCTGAAATCAATAAAAATGTATCTATTTTTAGTGACAACACTGACACTGGTGGGATGAGCGCTGGCCTCAGCATTCGCTACGACTGACCGTGCGGCAGACCTGAAGGCCACGGCGTTTGCTGGGCCGCCTGGCACGCGAGCTCCACTGGAGCCACAGGACTGAGCACAAACGCGGGAACACACCAGCCCGCCTTCAGCGGCCACCTGACCGCTTTACAGGGAGATCGATAAAGACCAAGTTGTTACGACTTCTTTTAAAGATTTCTGGTGTTTGGAGCCTCCCCCTTGCATCTTCCAAGAACTCATGTGCACACTGAATCAGACATAAACTTTCACGCACAGTCTGCTTACCTTGTAAACCAGGGTACAAGTTAGTGAAGACCATGTAGCACTTAAATAATAATTTGTAAAAACACTATTCATCAAGCAAGTACAAGCCTGGAATTGACTAGGTCCTATGAGTATGAGTAAACATATAAAGCTAAGTTACAAGGTGAACAATGCCGTTACCCAGTTTAACTTCAACAATAAATATATAAAATACAGTCATTTAAAGGCAATGAAACGAACGACTGATAGACCAGACCTGGGAGACAGCACAAGAGCAAGGCCTCTTAGAGAAACACCTTCCGCACCCACACGAACATGTGGGACAGGGACAGGGAGCGAGGGCCGTGAAGGCCGCGGCCACCACCCACCTCCCAGGAATCAGCCAAGGACACCGCGTGACACGAGTGAGACACACACACACCTCGAGCGTCCCGGGCGCGGGCAGGAGCGTCTCTGGAAGCTGCTCCTGCTCCTCCTCCAAAATGCTCTCGCCGGCGTCGCTGCCCACGGCCTCCTCGCAGCTGACGCTCCGCAGGAGCCCGCGGCGCTCCTCGCAGTCGGCGCTGCCCTCGCTGGTGTCGCTGCACACGCTGTTCTCGCGGCTGCACGACTTTCAGGATGGCACTTTCCGAGGAAAGGACGCCCCGTCTCACCAGGGTCCATCGAAGACTCTTGCGGGAGAAGGCAGATACCCGCTGAGGCGCGCATCGCCGA